ATCAATATTAATACGATTCTCAAGTAATTAAATGTTTAAAAAAAAAATATATATATATATATATATATATATATATATATATATATATATATATATATATATATATATATATATATATATATAAATTAGCAAGAACCTGTCTATAAGTCACTTTTCATAAGGTGCTTTTAAAATTCTCCTTGAATCTTAGGGAAGTTCCAAACCTTGATTTGGCAATATTTCAAGAAGATCATTAACTAATGTACTGGCTCCATTAGAAAATAGCATAATGTATTCGAGTAAAGACATTGAATTCAAAGAATTATCAGGATAATTGTTCCATGTATCATTAACAGGTTTTCCTTTTGAAAAATTCGATTCTGCATGAGATGTCTAAATCTTTGAAATTGTTAGAACTTGGTTATTGATATATGTAATAAAATATTACATCCGCCTAAAATGTCACATCCCCCATAGAAAAAACGAAAACGAGATTGCGCTTTCAAGTCATTGCACTTAGAAGTGTATCAAATACGTCCGAAACATTCAATTATAAACAATATAATTAAAACGCAACGAGATTCATAAAAACGTTTTTCTACTAATATACTATAAATGAAGTTAGCATAAAATGGTAATATATTTTAAATTCTTATTTATAAAATTTTAATCGTAATGTATTGTGTGACAATAGTATAGAAAAAGATTACACATGAGGGATATAATACTTTAGGTAATAAAAATAACAATCGTTTGCAATATTTTAGAAGCCTGCATAGGGGGGATGTGATATTTTAAGTAAGAATTCCAGTTTCTTTTTGTCACATATACAGAAATAACAAGTGGTGGATGTTATATTCTATATACCAAATACTAATTGTTTAAAATACTTTATAAATTACTTAGGGGGATGTAATACTTTAGAAGTAGACATACGGGGGATGTTATATTTTAAAGTAAGATTTTCAGTTTCTTTTTCTGACATATACAGTGAATAAACCGAGGGGATGTGATATTCTTGATATCAAATACTAATCGTTTAAAATATTGTATGAATTACTTAGGGGGATGTAATATTTTAAAGGTAAACATAGAGGGGATGTAATATTTTCAGTAAGAATTTCAGTTTCTTTTTATGACATTTAGAGCGAATAAACCGAGGGGATGTAATATTTTAGATACTAAATACTAATGGTTTGAAATATTGTATGAATTACTTAAGGGGATGTAATATTTTAAAGGTAAACATAGATGGGATAATGTATTTTAAGAAAGAATTCAAGTTTCTTTTTGTGGTACATACAGAACTTACTAGTGATGGATGCGATATTCTAGGTACCAAATACCAATTGTTTGAAATATTGTATGAATTATTTAGGGGGATGTAATCTTTTAGAAGTATACTTTAGGGGGGATGTGATATTTTAAGTTAGAATTAAAGTTTCTTTTTGTGACATATACATAGAATCTACAGGGGGATGTTATATTCTAGGTATCAAATACTAATAAAGTGAAATATTGTAAAGATTTACTTTGGGGGATGTAATATTTTAAAAGTATACATAAGGGGTATGTGATATTTTAACTAAGAATTTCAGTTTCTTTTTGTGACATATACAGTGAATAATTCAAGGGGATGTGATATTCTATATATCAAATACTAGTCGTTTGAAATATTGTATGAATTACTTAGGGAGATGTAGTATTTTAAAAGTAAACATAGCGGGAATGTGATATTTTAAATACCAAATATTATTTGTTTTAAATATTGTTATTATTATTAGGGAGATGTCATATTTTAAAGGTAAACTTAGAAGGAATGTAATATTTTATGTAGGAATTAAAGTTTCTTTTTGTGATACATACAGAACTTACAAGTGATTGATGTGATGTTCTAGGTACTAAATACTAATTGTTTAAAATATTTTGTAACTTACTTACGGGATTTAATGTTTTAAAGGTAAACATAGAGGAGATGTGATATTCTAAATAGTAACTTCAGTTTTTTTTTGTGACTTATACAGAGTCTCCACAGGGGAAATGTGATATTTTAAACACCAAATACTAATTGTTTAAAATATTGAAAAGAAGTACTTAGGAGGATGTAATATTTTAGAAGCATGCATAAGGGGGATGTGATATTTTAAGAAAGAATTTTAGTTTCTTTATGTGATACATACAGAACTTACATGTGATGGATGTGATATTCTAGGTACCAAATACTAATTGTTTAAAATATTTTATCTTTTTGTGACATATACAGAGAATAAACCGAGGATAAGTGATATTCTAGATACCAAATACTAATAGTTTGAAATATTGTATGAAATCCTTAGGGGGATGTAATATTTTAAAGATAAACATGGAGGGGATGTGAGGGGATTTTATAAGAATTTAAGTTTCTTTTTGTGGTACATACAGAACTCACAAATGAAATATTGTAATATTATAAAGTACTTTGGGAGATGTAATATTTTAGAAGTATACGTAGTGAGGATGTGATTTTTTAAGAAAGAGTTTCAGTTTTTTTTATGTTATTTATACAGAAATTACAAGTGATGGTTGTTATAGTCTAGTTACCAAATACTAATTGTTTGAGTTATTTTATGAATTACTTTGGGGGATGTAATATTTTAGACGCCTGAATATGGTGGATGTGTAATTTAAGTAAGAGTTTTAGTTTCTTTTTTTTACATATATAGAGAATAAATAGGAAGAATGTGATATTCTAGGTATCAAATACTAATCGTTGATTAGTTTTTGATACCTAATGAAGTATTGTAAAGAATTACTTATTTTTAAAATACACATAGAGGGGGGGGGGGGATGTGATATTTTATTTAAAAGTTTCAGTTTCTTTATGTGATACATACAGAATTTACAAGTGAGGAATCTGATATTTAAAACACAAAATACTAATCGTTTGAAATATTGTTAAGAATTACTTCGAGGGATATAATATTTTAGACCCCTGCATAGGGTGGATGTGTAATTCAAGTAAGATATGTATCTCAAATATTGTTAGCTGTTTTTTGTTTCTTGGGCCCTCCTCTGATGGGGAGATCTTTATAATAAATTTTTATATTTAATTAGAAAATAAATAAAAAAATTATAGAGCTTTTAATAAAATCAAGAAACTTTAATATTTATAGTGTTTTTTAGATTTTTAAAGTTTTAATTTAATATATTTTTTTTTTTTTAGATACGATTGAGCTAACAATTTAAACATGCGACATTTTTCAACGAAGTCATATATAAAACTTTGGTGGAACTAAAGTTTTCATAAGATTTAAAATGAACGAAATTAATTACAATAATTTTTTATTCTAAATGTTTTCATATCTTACAACATAAATATTTTACTAGTTTTAATGTACAAAACGTTTTGAAGGAAAACAAATATATATTACGGTTTGTCTTTTTTCATTCTATTCCATAATTTAAAATTTTTCTTCATTACGCCCACATTATGGTTGCTGAGGCGTAAGGTTTCGGGAAGGTTATAACTTCTTCAGATACTTTTTTTGAATAATAGAAGCTTATTTTCTTGATAAAAGAACATTTTTAAAGAGCTATTTTTAAATATTAACGTTTCTTTGGGTGGTTTGGTATGGAAATATAATGTGATTATTGAGCCTGTTGAGGCGAGTTAATAATATTTAGTCCAGTTCACAATTATTAAAATTATACAAATTTTTAAAAGTGGCAGTTAAAAAATTAACTTATTAGTTATTACAATAAAATATAAAATCATGTACTTCATGTATTAGAATCATCCAATATCATACTGAACTAAAATGATAAAGAATAATGTACTGTAAAAGATGGAAAAGACAAAGTACATAAACAGTATATATAAATGTTGTATATATATATACATACATATATATATATATATATATATATATATATATATATATATATATATATATATATATATATATATATATATATATATATATTCCATAAAATGTTAACACAACATTTTTGCAAAAATGAAAATTTTGAAAAAAAATATTCTGCTTCGAACAATCATGCACTTTTGCATAAATGCTAAAGTGCATGATTGTTCGAAGAAGATTTCACTAACAAATAATAATCATCCCTATAATGACAGATTTATAGCGTTGAATTCAACAAGTTTGAAAAAAAGACGAGAGCGTGGTGGCTTAGTTTAAATGATTGAATTAGGTAACAAAATTGACTATATTAATTGTTATAATAAAGATTGATTAAATTTTTATTCAACGAGTCCAGTACCAACGTGTAGCCATAATAAATATAACAAAAAAACCTGCACAGAGATTGTCCTTATTTATAATATATATATATTTTTTTAAATTTGTTATTTAGGTACCCCAAGAAGTCCTAACCGTCTTGTCACAGAGCACCGCGGAAGTGCATTTAACCAGGAAGTTCACTCCTCCTTCCTTACCATGACGCGAAATATGTCCAAAGCTCGTTTTGAACCTGGATCTCCTGCTTATAAAGCATACAATCTAACCACTGCGCCACGGCCGCACAATATTTGGCATAACTTTTTTTGAATCAAGAAGCTCGTTTTGATCAGTTTAGAAAATTATAAAGTTTAAATAGAGATAAGCGCTAGAAAAAGAATAAGCTAAAACAAAGTGAAGTTACGTTATATTTTTAAACATATTAGTTGAGGTTGAGAGTTTATGTTTACTTATTTTAATTTAAAAGACATCTTTGTCAGACACTTGTCTCAGAAACCCTTAGCTATTCAAAGGCGTCTAAATTTTATTACGCATAATACAGGTCTTTAAACGTCTTTAAAAAACGCTGAGAAGAGAAATGTTTTTTTTAAATATTGTTACTCTGTAGAAGTTACTGGTATATCTGTTACTTCAATAAAGTTTTCATTTTATTTATAAAATATTTTATTTTTTTTTCAAACCTAATATTTGTTTAACTTTCTACGTGTAATACTAATATGAAAACAATTTTTATCGTTTTTTGATTTATACTCGGGTAAAATAATCGTTTTCTTATTTTAATTTATAGTTAAACCATATATTTTATCATTATTTTATTTTATGGTTTATTTTCAAGAGAAGGCAGAGACACCAACAAAAAGCTTTGAAGTTAATGAAGGTGAAGGTATGAATTAAAAACTCACTTATTCATTTGTAATTGTTAGCGTTTTATTTTATTTATAATTTATTTTCTAGAGGAGGCAGATAACTATAAAAATCTTTGCAGCTAAAGACAGTGAAGGTATATAATAATAAATCACTTTTACATTTTGTTAGCGTTACCTTTTTATTGTAATGTATTGTTTTTTTAGAAGTGGCAGATAAAAAAAATAGTTTTGTAGTAAAAGATGGTAAAAGTAGGATTTAAAAAGTTACTTTTTCATTTATAAATGTTACCATTTTATTTTAAAGTATCGCTTGTTTTTTAGAGAAGGCAGAGAAGCCAATAAAAACCATTATAGATTAAGATAGTGAAAGTATGTATTAAAACTTACCTATTCATATATAATTGTTAGCGTTTTATTTTAATTTGTTTTTATTTATTTTAATATTCTAGAGATAGTAAATACAAAAAAAAGCTACATAGTTGATGATACAGAAGGTATGTATTATTCAGTGGCGCACGAATGAAATAAAGATTTTTATGTAAACTTATTTAAATATTTAATTTAAACATCCCACCTGGTGAAAAAATATGTGAAGAGCTTTAAAACATGTAATCTTCAATAAATGTAATAGTCGTTATTTTATTAGATAAAAGACTTAAGCTTAAATTTTGATAAAATTATGCTTAAATTGCATTTCATAAATAGATCACGGAATAATAAAATGTATCCATATTAAAAACCCTGTAAAAGTCTTAGGAGGCTGCAAGGTATACGATTATTCGTTACAAGACACTTTAAACGAATGTCTCAGTGACGAATTTGTTAATATTTATCTCAAAATATTAGTAAACAGTAAAATAAAAGTATGATTAATTAATGTACTTCATAATAAAATTTTTGTACAAAAAAACCCTTCTTGCATTTTTTTTTTAAATTTGCCTTTATTTAAATTCTAAATATAAAACAATATATTGAATGCCATTCCATTTATTGATGCTTTGAAGAATCGAATCGAAGTACTGTAGCCAGCTGGGCTACTCTCACTGGATGAATTGCCAATTAAAACTGATTTAATACGAAGACGGCATAAGGTATTCAAAAACTTTTATCTAAAAAAATTAATGATTCAATTATTTAATTATAGAGTATTTATACACACACACACACACACACATGATGGAAAAACACACACACACATGGTGGAAAAATTTCATTGGACGCTTGCAGTATGTAAAATTGTATAATTGTTTTTTGAAAAAGTTTATTTCTCTAAGTAAAAAAAGTTTAACTTTTAGTGAAAGGTTAGATTACCTATTTTTTTACAGGGAACCTAACTTTGAACCTGATTTTGAAAATCACTTGTGTTTTAGATAATCGAACCAGGTAATAAAACAATTCACTCTATGGACCCTATGGGAGAACAGACAAATTCCATCAAAAAAGAAGAAGTGAAATGGAAGTATGATACTATTATTATTAGATATTCCTATGTCAAAATTTATATTTACATCTTTTATAGTTTTTTTACTATTATACAATAGTTGTTACTTACAACAAAGATATGGTGTTTCAGAAAAGTTTGAAATATTAACATTACCACATGCCATACGAGCTGAAGGTATAACATTTGGAGTATTCTGCCTTAAGATAACTTTAAGAGTCTTAACTGTAATGGATATATATATATATTACTTAAAACATCACATCCCCCATATATATATATATATATATATATATATATATATATATATATATATATATATATATATATATATATATATATATATATATATATATATATATATATATATATATATATATATATATATATATATATATATATATAAGCTTACATAATTTAGTTTGCTGAAAGTTGTACAAATGGAGAAGTATTGGTGCGTGTCTTTCCACATGAAGAAGTTAATGCATACAGAAAGAGAGATAAAGGAGGTTTGTGAGATTATTTAGAGAACTGAAAATGTTTATACTACTTCAATGTTAAATGATATCTATAAAAAAGACAAAAAAAAAATGATGAAAAATTAAATCAATAGGTCAGAAGAGTTAGCAGAATAGTTTGTGTCGCATTTGTGGAAGTGAAATTGGTCCAAAAACTAGAAAAAATCAAAAAAAAATTAAATGAGTAATAAAATATATTTTAATTAATTTTTAATAAAAATTTCAAATAGAAAAAAATACTTTAAATATTCAAATAGAAAAATGTTCATTAAATATTTATTTTTAGGTAAAATGTGATATATGCATTTAAATCGATGGTACCGTATGAGATGCATTGTTTTTAGAAATGAAACTTTATTTTGTTGTGAACATATTTATGTACAAATGTATTAAATATATATATTAAATAATAAATGAAACTTTGAAAATTGCAGTCATTTCTTTTTCTTCAAAATTTTGTCATAAATTGAACCAATTTAAATGTTTATGCCCTTACAGATAAAAAAGGTGAAATTTTTTTCCTTAGTTCTAGTGACTTCTTGTATTACTATAATACTTTAACTCGTCGGAAGCCATACATATGAATTAATTGAACAATAATACATTTTTAATTTGTTAGCTCAATTTAATCTAAAAAAAACAAAAAAAGACTGTTTGGGTAATCTCTGCGCATTTTGCAAATAACAGCTAAAATTCTAAATTAAAATACCAAATCTGGTATTTTAATTTAGAATTTTAGCTGTTATTTGCAAAATGCCCCTCCCTCCCCTAAATATACTTCTAAAATAATAGATCCCCCTAAGCATTTTTCTACAATATTTCAAGCAATTTATATTTAATACTTAAAATATCACATCTCCCCTGTGAAGTCTCTGCATATGTCACTAAAAGAAACAAGAATTCTTACTTAAAACATCGCATCCCCTCTATGTTTACCTTTAAAATATTAAATTCCCCTAAGTAAGTTACAAAATATTTTAAACAATTAGTATTTGGTATCTACAATATTAAATTCATCACTTGTAAGTTCTGTATTTACCGCAAAAAGAAACTTAAATTCTTACTGAAAATATTACATCCCCTTTAAGTTAACCTATAAAATATTACATTCCCCTAAGTAATTCATACAATATTTCAAACAATTAATATTTGCTGTTTAAAATATCGCATCCCCTCTATGTTTACCTTTAAAATATTCTATCCCCCTATATAATTCATACAATATTTCAAACGATTAGTAATTGGTATCTAGAATATCACATCTCTTCGGTTTATTCACTGTATAAGTCACAAAAAGAAACTGAAGTTTTTACTTAAATAATCACATCCCCCCTATGTATACTTCGAAAATATTACATCCCCCTAAGTAATTCATACAATATTTCAAACGATTGCTAATTGGTACCTAGAATATCACATCCGGGTAATTCCATGTCAATTGAGCCAGAAAATTTCAAAAATGTCACCATACATCTCAGATTTTGCTGATTTTTATACAGTTGAGAGTACTTAGTAAAACAAAAAATCCTTGAAAATTTTAGCTTCTAGCTCCAAGAGGATCATGAAATATGATCATTTTACTTTTAACTGATCTTGGCCAGGCCCCTCTTGTCCCCTCAAAAATTTGACCTTTGTTTAAAGGTTACATATTACATATTACAAAGGTTACATATTACATATTACAACATAGCTTTAAAAATATTTAATCTTTTGACTTAAAAATTTGTACCTGGCTATTTTCAGGGTTGAAGAATCCAATAAAATAATCAGAAATGTAAAAAAATATTTTTAAGTACCTGTAATTATCAATTTAAATAAATTTAGGCAATTTTCTATATACCTGATTTTGATGCTCAAGAAAGCCATGTGGCCTTGATGATATAAAAAAAAAAAATTGTACATATTATTCTATGTTTAATGATCTTTCAGAAAACACAAAAACTTTGATCTGCAAGTATATGGATTTCCATATATGGTTAACGGGGCACAGGCCCCACTATTTTGATAGCGGAACCTTGCCATACATTTTTCACTACCTTTCAGACTAGCTGGAACGATGAAAATTTTGGTATTTATGTAGTGTCAATAAATGTGCATTTTAAAATTAAAAAAGGGCCCAAGACACTAGGGGAGGGGGCTGGAGGGATGTGCCCCACTTTTTTGACCGGAATTTTGAGATTTTTCAGTATCTTCCAGACAAGCGGGAGCTTTGAAACTTTTAGCATTTGTGTAGTCCTGATGAACATGCGTTAAAATTGTTTCAGGTCCGATGACCAGAAGGTCCAAGGGACTGGGGCACTGGGGACCATGCCCCAAAATTATTTTCTCAAAAAAAATTTTTTTTTTTTTTTAAACACATTTAAGATAACTTTGAAACAATTGCCTTCAAAATTTTTTTTTATATTTTTATTTTCAACAACGTTAAACATATCTTTGATAACGTTGCTTCGCAATTTTTTGTGATTTATATTTGTTCAATTTGGTTTTTGATTATTCTATGTTCAATGATCTTTCTTAAAATGTTTTAAGAAAGTTAATGTTTATAAGAATTTTGATTTGCATGTATAAGATTAAAAACAGTCTAAAATAATGGTTTTAACAGAATTTTATTTTGTATAATTTAAAATTTTAATTAAAAAAGAATAATATATTTTAATGCTAAAATTGTAAAAGCAAGTTGTTTAATTAACTTCCAAGAGAAAAAAACATCCTGTCATAACATTACATCGATAAAAAAGAACTTTATCAATTTTTCAAAATCATTTTTTTATTTGATATTTGCTAATTTTAAAATCCAAAGTTACCATTGGTGCAAAAGTCAATGCACATTGCACCCCGTTGCCCTCTATTTATTAAACAAAAATGACCAACTTGAAGAAAAATTGTTTTGCTTCATGTCAGAAGATAATGAGCATGACACTGGTTTTGTGTATGAAGTTCAAACACAAATAGTTAACTATTTAAAAGAATATCATCCTAAAATTTCAAAGATTCTTTATTTTTCTGATGGTTGTGCTGCACAGTATAAAAACCACAAAAACCTTTACAATATCTGTCTCCATAAAAATGATTTTGACATTGATGCAGAGTGGACATTTTTTGCTACAAGTCATGGTTAGTCATCATGTGATAGTATTGGTGGCATTGTAAAACAATTAACTACAAATGCAAGTCTACCAAGGCCCATAAATGACCAGAAATTGAATTGTAACAAAATGTTTGACTACTGTACTAACAATATTAAAGGGATTATTTTTTTCAAGATTAAAAAAGAAAGACTGACAGAATTGTGCACCACCTTGAAAACACATTTTGAGCTAAGTAGAACAATCCCTGGAACTAGGAGCTATCATCAATTTAAACCAGAATCTTTAGATACTATTAGCTTTTAACAAGTGAAGATGTTCATATAACAGGCATTTTTTGTTTTTCTGGTATTCAAAGTTCTCAAAATGATCAGAAAATTAACATTGATGCCTTGAAACTCTGCGAATTCATTATGTGTAAATATGATGCGTTTGATTGGATTGGTATGATCAATGAAATTGATAATATAAAGCAAGATGTTATGGTAACATTTATGCACCCGCACGGTCCTTTTAATAAACTTTTCTGGCCATCTAGAGTAGATGAGTGTTGGGTTCCAATTACCAACATAACTTGTATAATTAATGCACCTGTAACAACAAATGGACATTTGTATACTTTGATCGCCGATGCATCTAAGCTAATCTTAGCATTATATTGACAATTTCTTTTTTTTGTATTTTATTTTGTAAATAATGAAGTAAAACAGAACAAGCATAAAGCAATAAAATTTTTGAATACAATATTTTCAAAGTTAAGACACGTGTTTAAAAAAAAAAAAATTTTTTTTTGAGAAAAAAAGTAGGGCATGGTTCCCAGTGCCCCAGCCCCATGGACCTTCTGGTCATCTGACCTGAAATAATTTTAATGCATGTTTATCAGGACTACATAAATGCTAAAAGTTTCAAAGCTCTAACTAGTCTGGAAGATACTGAAAAATCTATCTCAAAATTCCGGTCAAAAAAGTGGGGCACATCGCTCCAGCCCCCTCCCCTAGTGTCTTGGGCCCTTTTTTAGTTTTAAAATGCACATTTATTGACACTACATATATACCAAAATTTTCATCATTCCAGCTAGTCTGAAAGGTAGTGAAAAATGTATGGCAAGGTTCCGCTATCAAAATAATGGGGCCTGTGCCCCGTTAACGATGTATGGAAAACCATATACTTGCAGATCAAAATTTTTATGTTTTCTGAAAGACCATTAAACATAGAATAATGTGTACAATTTTTTTTTTATATCATCAAGGCCACATGGCTTTCTTGAGCATCAAAATCAGGTATATAGAAAATTGCCTAAAATTGTTTAAATTGATAATTACAGGTACTTAAAAATATTTTTTTACATTTCTGATTATTTCATTGGATTCTTCAACCCTGAAAATAGCCAGGTACAAATTTTTAAGTCAAAAGACTAAATATTTTTAAAGCTATGTGACTTGGAACCTTTAAACAAAGGTCAAATTTCTGAGGGGACAAGAGGGGCCTGGCCAAGATCAGTTAAAAGTAAAATGATCATATTTCATGATCCTCTTGGAGCTAGAAGCTAAAATTTTCAAGGATTTTTTGTTTTACTAAGTACTCTCAACTGTATAAAAATCAACAAAATCTGAGATGTATGGTGACATGACCTGGCTCAATTGACATTGAATAACCCAAATAGCAATCATTTGAAATATGGTATGAATTATTTAGCGGGATGTTATATTTTAGAAGTATACATTAGGGGGGGGGGTGATATTTTAAGTTCGAATTTCAGTTTTTTTTGTGGTACATACAGAACTTACAAGTGATGGATCCATCACTTGTAAGTTCTGTATGTACCACAAAAAAAACTAAAATTCGAACTTAAAATATCACATCCCCACTATGTATACTTTTAAAATATTACATTCCCCAAGTAATTCATACAATATTTCAATTGATTAGTATTTGATACCTAGAATATCATATCCCCCTGTAGATTCTATGTATATGTCACAGAAAGAAACTGAAATTCTTACTTAAAATATCACCCCCCCCTCCTAATGTATACTTCTAAAATATAACATCCCGCTAAATAATTCATACCATATTTCAAATGATTGGTATTTGGTACCTAGAATATCACATCCATCACTAGTAAGTTCTGTATGTACCACAAAAAAAACTTAAATTCTCACTTAAAATATCATATCCCATCTATGTTTACCTTTAAAATATTACATCCCCTTAAGTAATTCATACAATATTTCAAACGATTAGTATTTAGTATCTAAAATATTACATCCCCTCGGTTTATTTGCTGCATAGTTCACAAAAAGAAACTGAAATTCTTACTGAAAATATTACATCACCTCTAAGTTTATCTCTTAAATATTACATCCCCCAAAGTAATTCATACAATATTTCAAACGATTAATATTTGCTATTTAAAATATCACATCCCCCCTATGTTTATCTCTAAAATATTACAACCCCTTAGTAATTCATACAACATTTCAAACGGTTTTTATTGAGTGTTTAAAATATAAGATTCATCACTTGTAAATTTTGTATGTACCACAAAAAAAAACTAAAATTCTTACTTAAAATAGCACATCCCCTCCTAATGTATACTTCTAAAATTATACATCCCCCTAAATAATTCATACAATATTTCAAATGATTGGTATTTGGTACCTAGAATATCACATCCATCACTAGTAAGTTCTGTATGTACCACAAAAAAAACTTAAATTCTAAATTAAAATATCATATCCCGTCTATGTTTACCTTTAAAATATTACATCCCCTTAAGTAATTCATACAATATTTCAAACGATTAGTGTTTAGTATCTAAAATATTACATCCCCTCGGTTTATTTGCTGCATATGTCACAAAAAGAAACTGAAATTCTTACTGAAAATATTACATCCCCCAAAGTAATTCATACAATATTTCAAATGATTAATATTTGCTATTTAAAATATCACATCCCCCCTATGTTTATCTCTAAAATATTACAACCCCTAAGCAATTCATACAACATTTCAAACAGTTTTTATTTAGTGTTTAAAATATAAGATTCATCACTTGTAAATTCTGTATGTACCACAAAAAAAAACTAAAATTCTTACTTAAAATAGCACATCCCCCCTAATGTATACTTCTAAAATTATACATCCCCCTAAATAATTCATACAATATTTCAAACAATTGGTATTTGGTACCTAGAATATCGCATCCATCACTTGTAAGTTCTGTATGTACCACAAAAAGAAACTTAAATTCTTTCTTAAAATATCATATCCCATCTATGTGTACCTTTAAAATATTACATCCCCTTAAGTAATTCATACAATATTTCAAACCATTAGTATTTAGTATCTAAAATATTACATCCCCTCGGTTTATTTGCTTTAAATGTCACAAAAAGAAACTGAAATTCTTACTGAAAATATTACATCCCCTCTATGTTTACCTTTAAAATATTACATCCCCCTAAGTAATTCATACAATATTTCAAACAATTGGTAATTGATATCTAGAATATCACATATCCTTGGTTTATTCACTGTATATGTCACAAAAAGAAACTTTAATTCTTACTTAAAATATCACATCCCCCCTATGTTTATCTTTAAAATATTACATCCCCCTAAGTAATGCATACAACATTTCAAACGGTTTTTATTTAATGTTTAAAATATAAGATTTATCACTTGTAAATTCTGTATGTATCACAAAAAGAAACTGAAATTCTTACTTAAAATATCACTTTTCCTCTATGTTTACCTTTAAAATATTACATCCCCTTAAGTAATTCATACAATATTTCAAACCATTAGTATTTAGTATCTAAAATATTACATCCCCTCGGTTTATTCGCTCTAAATGTCACAAAAAGAAACTGAAATTCTTACTGAAAATATTACATCCCCTCTATGTTTACCTTTAAAATATTACATCCCCCTAAGTAATTCATACAATATTTTAAACGATTAGTATTTGATATTAAGAATATCACATCCCCTCAGTTTATTCACTGTATATGTCAGAAAAAGAAACTGAAAATCTTACTTTAAAATATAACATCCCCCGTATGTCTACTTCTAAAGTATTACATCCCCCTAAGTAATTTATAAAGTATTTTAAACAATTAGTATTTGGTATATAGAATATAACATCCACCACTTGTTATTTCTGTATATGTGACAAAAAGAAACTGGAATTCTTACTTAAAATATCACATCCCCCCTATGCAGGCTTCTAAAATATTGCAAACGATTGCTATTTTTATTACCTAAAGTATTATATCCCTCATGTGTAATCTTTTTCTATACTATTGTCACACAATACATTACGATTAAAATTTTATAAATAAGAATTTAAAATATATTACCATTTTATGCTAACTTCATTTATAGTATATTAGTAGAAAAACGTTTTTATGAATCTCATTGCGTTTTAATTATATTGTTTATAATTAAATGTTTCGGACGTATTTGATACACTTCTAAGTGCAATGACTTGAAAGCGCAATCTCGTTTTCGTTTTTTCTATGGGGGATGTGATATTTTAGGCGGATGTAATATTTTATTACATATATCAATAGTATATAAAGTATATATATATACATACTATAACATATATTTAGTTTTAAACCGTTTCCTTTATTATCTGTAAAAATTTCATTACCTGTATCAATATTACCACAATTTTCAACTGATAACAAAAACAAAAATTAAATGGAACGTGTCTATTAGTTGTTGTAAAAAGACTACTTTTGTAATTGAAAAAATGCGTTACTTAAAAATTAGGCTAACGGCCTTTTGTATAATTCAAAATAAGATTTAGAATTTTACAAAAATCGCAGACCTAGAATACTTTTGACGGTTGGTACGCATGCGCTTTAAGTGTTCCTTATTCCGAATTATACGAACGAATATCTTATTTTGAATTCTTGAACAGAACCCTCCGAAATGTACTAAACCCAGCTTCGCTCTACAAAATTTTGTAATACTATTTAGATTAAAATGAGTAAAGATAGTTCTTCTCTAAATTTTGAGCATATATTAGGTATGAAGTTTTTCTTTACTTTTTTTTTTGTAAAATATATGATGCCGATATAAGAATATACTAATTTCTTTTCAATCTTTTTTTTTTTTTTTTAATTAAAAGTGTATTATAAACGTTTATCAAGTTTAAAATGTAAATTTAGAACATTGCTCTTGAAATAAATTTATTTACTAAAATGTGTATGCAACTATTTATTTTAATCAAATATGTATCAAGTTTTGAAAGTATACTTTAGTTTTTTGAATGAAATTTATAAATTAATATAATGAAAATTCATTCAAAAAAACCATTTTGTATGTTGTATACTAGATAATATACTTGATAACCTGGTAAATATAGCTTTGTTTGTTTGTTTAAAAATAGATGCACAGCAAATTGATGCTCAACCAAACTCTGCTGAAGCTTTAAATCCGGCTGCTGCGACAGAAAATAAGTACATATTGGCCACATATGCAAATGCAAGAATAATAGAGTAAAATGTTTCACAGAGTTCATTATGTTGTAACTTTCAATTTAGAAATGGAAAAAATGTTGAAGGTTTGCAATGTTAAATAATTTTTTTTTTAATGGTTTTTACAATACTAGCTTTTTAATTTACTGCATGAAGTAAACATTTTTATAGAAGAGAGTGTTCCCAATGAAAAATATGTCCAAAATGATAAAAGGTATATGCTATATATCTAATATCATTTTGGTGTTATGTTATTTATTTAAAAAAGATTCTGTATAGAATGTTTTTTTGTATGAAATTTTTTGCTGTTTGTTATTAAATTTCATGACAAATTAAAATTATTCTTTCAATTTAATTGAAATCCTTATTTTTGCCCTTGTTTTTAACCAGTGGTTACACTGGCTGAGCTAAATTTGTGTTCAGTTTTAACCATGCTAAACATAAAATAACAATCATGATTTATACCTTCAGGGAAAGTCAAAGCAAAATTGTCTTTTTTAACTGGTTTAGTAAAAATCAGGGAATTTACTTAGCGGTCAGGGAAAACAGTTGCTTTTTTTCTTAGTGACTCAGCGAATAATAAAACATTTCTAGTTCTAAATATCTTTCTTTTTTTTTTTTTTTACCTAAGACTGTATTAAATTGTAAATGTTTTTTAGGATTTATCAATGAAATCTTGAAATGTCAAATCTTGATTATGTTTAAGTTTAATCATTTTATATATTAATGATTTTAATGCCTAATGTTTTTGAAATTTTCTTTTTTTTTTATATAAGTTTTAATAATCTACTACCTAATGTTTGTTGAAAATTATAAAAAAATTCTTTTTTAAATTATTATTTTAAATAATTGTAAATATTAATGCTAAATACTTACAATTATTTAAAATAAGAAATCTTATTTTTAACATTTATTTCAATTTTTTAATTCTTTTTTTGTATCAAATATTTTAACTTAGCAAAAACAAATTTAATGTTAGTTATGGAATTGCACCTTACTACAGGGACTTTTTTAAAATACAAGTCTGTGCATCAGACTGTTGCCATCAGGCTGGCTGTTTGTTATGTTGAAAGTTTGAACAAAGTTATTCAAATAGTGTATCTGGTTTGGATTTATCTAAACAAGTACTACCTATGCATGGTTCTAATGTGAACTGGAAGGTTCTCAGGGAAATGCAATTGGAAAGAGACAAAGCTGGTCTGAGTTAATTTGTAAACATTGTCATCAAAGAAATATAGCCAAATATAATAAAGATCAATAATTTCCAGCAGAACCTATTATCTTTTAAAAGTCCGTCGTCAAAGAGCTATTTGATTGTAAAAAAACAGAGTTACCGATGTCTTTTAGTATAAAAGCTTTTATTTTTCTACTATATCACACCTTTTGCAGCCTCAAAATCCGAAAAAAATATCAAACAGATGATCCCATGTTGTCTTTTCTTGGCAAGGACCTTGAGATGCTGCATTACCTAATTCAGTTGGTTGTTAAAACTGATATTTTCCTTAAATGTTATTCTGTTCTTAACTTATTAGAGCTTGATATTACTGATAAAAGTATTTATCTAGAGATAAAAGATATTCATTTAGTTTCTCAACTTAAGAAAAACTTCAGAATTTATTAGGTCAAGATAAAGTGAAATCTGCTGATGTAAATAAAGTTAAAAAAGGACGCTGCAAATATGGTAATTTTTTTATTGGAGAAAATCACTCGAAAAAGTTCATTACATCATTGCATGGTATGAATTGCAAATGTGTTTGATTCAAGTTCCTGTATATGACTAATCCAATCGATAGATCCAAATTCTGTATGCAACTGGTCAAATTACGAAGCAAAATGAAACAACTCTTGACTCATTGAAGATTATTAATGCAACTTTAGCAGAGAAAGTTTTGCCATAATATTCAGTTCAGTTGAAATTTCGAAATAGTAGAGTCTTCAAGTTGCGAGAGCGCTAGACTTGATAATTTCTTTTTTTCATAAACCCACTATACATATACCAAAAAGTTAAAATCTATTTTGATCTTATATCGGTTTTAGTTACAAGTCATAGTAAAACAATGGTAAAGAAGACTTTATGTTATTTAGATTGTAACCAATATATAACCAATAATATAAAGAAAGATGGCGAGTAGACCATGTGTAAAAGAACAACCTGATACCTTCAAAAATAAAACTAACAAACAAGTTTATAAGGATTGTGAAAGGCGCGTGCCTAAAATATTAGCTAGACCTTGATCAAAAGAGAAAGAATGCTAAGAAAAATCAAAGCAACCATCAGTTAAAAATTTTAACCAAAATCGTTGATGATTAAAAGGAAAAAAAAAAATTTACTAGATTTTTAAAACAATTTAGATATTTAGTTTATTTTTATCATGTAAGAGACAGAAGAAAAAAAAGATTTGGAGTTATCAAAGGAAACCATATGAAAAGGAAGAGTGAAGATAAATGTCTTGAAATTAAAAGTATAGAAAAAGCAGTTCAAATTTTGTTAGAGAAACAGAAAAAAAAAAAAAAAAGAAAATAACGTGAAACTAATCTCCCTTTTTTTAAAAGATTGTACTTTATTGTAGCTATTCCTTTTCTTTATAAATTAATTGATTTTCAAGATAAAGTTAAAGAAATGTAAAACTTTGAAAAAATTTTCAGTTCATAAAAATATAATATAATATAAAAATATAATTCATAAAAATATAATTCATAAAAATTCATAAAAATATAATTCATAAAAAAGACTTTTTTAATTAGTTGTTGTGAAGTGTAAATAAATAAAAGCCTTTAATTAAAAAACATACATGATCAGTCATATATGCGGTTTTATTTTATATGTGAGTGTCATTGCATGCCAATGTGAATAATTTTTTTTAGATGCTAGTGTCACTGCAAGTCAATGTGAGTTTTTTCTGGAGACTATTTATAATTATTTCAATAATATGAGTCAGGCGGTAAAGGGTAGTTTTTTGGAAAAAATCAGGAGGTAAAGATTGTTTTTCTAGAAAAAGAAAGTCAGGGAAGTTACTTATATATTTGAGTTGAGTCAGGAAAATCTTTCATTTAGAACCTAGATAAACCATGATGATGTTTAACAAATACCCTGATGATGTTTAACAAATTATGTAGAATTATTTTATCCAGAAATATTGAAGAGAAGTCTCAAGGTGTATTTAAAGCATAGAGATTATCCATTCTCCGGAATTCCCTTAATTTTTTTTTTCATGCAGCATTCTTGACTGCCAACATGGAAATGACAGATATGATAGATTCATAGTTATTGGCATGACTCAGTTATCGGCGCTTTCCATTTTTTATCACAAATTTCATATTTATTTTCATCAAATAAGTGATAAAAAATTTTATGAGATAAAAAAAGAAAACCAATATCTACCATTTTACAAAAAAATTATTATTGTCTGGTCTTTCTTAAAAAATTTAATAAGAAAATTATAATATTTATTTCTTTAAAATATTTTTTTAAATATATTTATTTCTCTTTTAGAAAAAATCAAAATACAATTTGTTGTGATTAAATTATTTAATACAACTTTTGAAAAAAAAATAGCCTAGACATTTGCATTTGTATAATTCAACTGACCTCTGTTAAAATTTTAATAAGTTTTTAAAATTTAAACATGAATTTTTTAAACTACTAAGAAAACAAAAAAAGCAAGTCAACAACAACTAAAGGAGCACTTTGATTAGGTCAAAAATGTTTCAGTTTCATTATCGTCAAGTTACTTTTTGGTGCTTTATACAAAGTGGGATGGATGGGTGGGATATATCTCCAGATTTAATAAATGTAGAGATATTAGGACGGGGGCGGGTCTTAATAAACAGGTGGTGACCTATTGTTGTATTCATCCTGTTGTTGTATTCATCCTGTTGTAATGACTACAACAATATCTCTCTAAGGAGTGTCTATTTATCAATATATT